TGGAATACCAAGTTGAGAAGAACAATACTGTCAATGTCTCAGCATACCACCGCAATGACGTGTATTAAATGAGGGACTGTTGTATTCGTCAAGCCAGGATAAGACGATCAAAGTCTGAGATACTAAAGAGGTAACGTCGTTGGAGGTGTTTAGCATTATTATCGGCATATTGGATAAACAGAGATTGCCTGATTAGGGAAAACTTGTGAGGACTTTGGAGGGTAACGGGCATTAATAAACACTATGGCACTTAGTACAGATTTCATACTAAGAACAGGCGCCTATGACCATACTAATAGAGTACCCTACCCAAAGATAAACAAGAAGGTAATGATTGAGGGTTGTCTTAGGTTGAACTATTTCCAACACAGTTTTGGCGAACGACAACTCTTATTTACTTTAGTTCTTTTTATCGTTTTGGATATTCCCAACTCCTTATGATTGCTAGCTCGGAAATGGGCTTTGAAACGATACAAAGAAGCCAAAGGCACAAAGCCCGAGCGATTAGCCTAAACCAAGAAATACTTATGAATTGGATTCGGCTGCAGGTATGAAGATTACAGTAGTCAAGGACGTACTAGTGTTTCAGGCGGATTGGGTACTTGTTATAAAATACGTACAACATGCAGCACTCAATCATCATTTCAGAACGTTTGGTGGATTTCTCGAAGAACGCATCGAGTCTGTGGACATTGATTGTTAGCATACCAGTATCTTTAGAGTTAAGTCCCGAGTTCGGCTAATATCAACTCTCAAGGATATCGTCTGGATTACATGTCCTCCGTTATGTACATTGGGTTGTGAAAAATTATAGTCCGCGCAAAGTTTAACATCTGTAAATACGAATCGAGAATTAGCCTGTGATACGGGCTGTAATTTCGTATAATGTTTCCTGATACACGTACTAATACAAAGAGCTGTACCAGTTTTTCGCTTGCAGTCTGCCTACACTAATAGCTGTCGTCCATTATAACTATAAAATGGACACTAAATGTTGTCTGTGGCGTAACACTATGGAGAAATTTCCAAATTGGATTAAAAAATTTTCTTTTCCATTATTGAGTTCACACGGTCATTGGGTGAAATGCCTCTTTTGTAGACTGATTTGGCATGTCATCTAGGACAATGCATAATGTTGGGATATTTGATTTATTTCATCCTCGTATAACATGCCAGACGGCACAAACACCATCGATAATTGCATTCGGCCAGAATTTATTCACCAGGTCTATCGACTCGCGCTCGACCTATACATGACAAAGAAAGCGTATATTATTACAATAAGAAATATTGTAGCGATAATCGCTGAGCAGATATTAGTCGAGATTAAATGAGTGCGCGACCAACCTAAACACTTACGAATAAACCAGTATGTCGAAATTACGATACAAATGTATAAAAGCCTGACATGCAATTTCATTGGACAGTCTTGCAGCCAACAAATAAACCATAAAAAATAGAAAACATATGGAGGGTTTTGTTTACCAACAACTTATTTTTTATTTTTCTAATAATATACATACTAATATTACTAAAACCATAAGTCTAATTAAAATAAAACTTATTTGCAAATGTTGTTTTTTTTTTCACAATTTTTACTTTTTAAATGTTTGACAGTTTATATGACGAGTAGCTTTAGTTTTATAATCAGAAGAAGTCTAAATATTATTCTATAATAACGCTCATAATTATTTCAATAAAAGGCTGATTAAAATTAACGTTTATATTTTTGTTCAAAGTTTGTTAGCAATAAATTGAGATAAGTTTTCGCAAAACCATATCAAGTTCCTGAAATTACTTGTCCTGTCTGGATTGTTGCGCTCCTTTAAAAATAACCTCTTCCGCTTCTTAATTATTCGATTGCCTAGATCTTTAAAAAAAAGAGAGAGGGTGGGGGGTCAGAACGAATTCCTAGCAAGGGCGTGAGTGAACGAATCATGTTTGAAGAGCATCGAGGCTACCCAAAGAACTATACTTAATAAATATACCACACAACGCCCAACCGGAACATGCCAAACTATCCATAAAACGAGAGAGAGTTTGTACGATGTCAAGGGGATCTATGCCCCAAAGAAACATGCCAAACGTCTTTTAATGGGAGTGAGTTTAGGCGAAATCTGGTTCAACGGGCATGCGCAGTAATCCAAAAACTATACTTCAATTGAATAAACACCCCGGCCCCACTCAAACGAAACATGTCAAACCATCCACATGCCTTGTTTTCTTCATAACGCGGTTATCGCGGTCCGGGCGTATATGAGAGGCGTGTATTTGGACTTTTTCATTAGTCGTCGATAAACTGTGCCGTATCGTCAAAGGACTTGTCGCCGTTGGGTGGTAAGAGTTTCTATTCCGAGAACTTGTTCGTGCCGTATGTGCGTATATAGAGTGTGCCGATGGATAATTGTTGTTGTATATTATCAGACTTTGTGTTTGCGCTTTGATGGGGGAGAAGGAGAGGGAAGGGGGGGTATATATATTAACAGATGTGTGTTTGCGTGTGTGTTAGATAACAAATGATGTCATACATCAATCGCGTTGTAAACATCCTTATAAGTATAAATGTTGTTATCTATGAAACAGGGGGTGAAAAGCATGACATGCAGTAAAAAGTTTTTTCACACGCGCGGACAGGTGGTCACAAATTATCAATCGCGTCATATACATCCTGATAAGTATAAATGTTGTTATTTATGCAACAAGGAGCGAGAAGCATGACATGCAGTAAAAAGTTTTTTCACACCCGCGGACGGGTGGTCACAAATCATCAATCGCGTTATATACATCCTGATAAGTATAAATGTTGTTATTTATGCAACAAGGAGTGAGAAGCATGACATGCAGTAAAAAGTTTTTTTGATCTTTGTGATAGCTTGATGTCGTAATTTCACGGAGACAGTGAGGAGGTAGCGACCAGTGGAAAAATTTTTTATTTAATTAAACTGATCTCTGTGATAGCTTGATGTCGTAATTTTCACGGGGCAGTCAGGAGGTATTGACCAGTGGTTTATCGATAAGCCACGCGTATCCTTTTGATCTCTGTGATAGCTTGATGTCGTAATTCTCACGGGGCAGTCAGAAGGAGACTAGTGTGATTATTGACTACCGATAAGCCACGTATATGATGGGGTTCTGTAGAAATTTCTCGAATGTTTTGCCTAAAAAGTTCTATATCGCGTTTTTGGGTTTCTTGAAGATAACTTTCTGATTAATTGCTTTAACAACAAGTTTCTTTTGGATTTACAAATAGCGTTGTTTCTTATTCGAACTCAAAATCAACGTGCTTTAGTAATAAAACTAGGACGTATACGAGAGCTGTGTGTTGCGTTTTCAAAACATACTGTTGCGTTAAAAAAGTTATATACAATTTTTCCCAATGCTGTTGCTAAGGTAACTGATTTGCGTGTTTTGTTTATTTCTTCCAGTACAGCATCATGGCTTTGGCGTCGATAGTTAGAACGCAAGGTTAACAAAATTTTTTTGAATCAATTTGTCAATTTCAGGCCTCAATCGTAGTCTTTGTTTTTCATCAGTAATTTCGATCAATCGGTAAAGAGAATGTCGCCGAACAGACAAAATGAGTGCAGATGTCCGTCTAGCTGTAAGCGTAAGCGTTAATTAAAACAAACTCTAGTATGAAAGTCAATATTTGCTTCTAAATATGGAATTCGTTTGATCCAGCATAGAATTGGACTCCAAAGTCGGAAAAGCTATTTTCACAAGCTTGCATCCAATCGGTAAGTTATTTTCTACTTTGCTCGAATCTAAAAAGTTATTGTTTCATAAAGGGCGTTTTGCAAGAATCTGATCGTATTGTCTTACCGTATATAGAGTAATCATCTAAACAATTCAGGAAAATACTGCACGCCAGTGATGCACGTTACCATCTTTGAATTCCCCTTGTCATGCATGGTGTCAGACTATTCTTGGAATACATCTTTGTCCCAAGCGCTTGTCCAATCATTGTAAGTAAATGATCTGTTTATAGCGAATTTCGATAAGAAATCTGTGAAAAACTTTATTAGGGTCTGAATTCAGCATTGTATCAACAAATTGTTAGGGAAAAGATAACATTACAGCAAATAATTTATTCGTCCGCTGATTCATAAGTTGAAAGGAGATGGAAAAAACAATGACACAAGAAATAAACAAGGACTGCGCCTACAAGTAATGTCTCTAATAGAAAAGTACGTATAACACTGATTCTGGTACTCGGGTAGCAAGCGTTTGCATCTGGGGTCTTCTAACGGTTATTTTACAACTCAAATAACCGTTATGCCGAAATCTTACAGTCTTTATGTGAGTCATTTGTAGTTAAATATTTCAACGATAAAAGAAAGAATGTAAATCGATTTCAAAGTCGCTTATTTAATCGCATGCTTTTCTAAGAATAATATTCTAACTTATTATAGCGTTTGTGCTGTGACTGAAAAATCGTCACAAAATAACGATAATATGCGCCCGCGACGGAAAATCGTCAGATGTCAGATACAGAATGTTATTTTGTCTCATTTTTAGTATTGTTTTCTGTGAAATCATTTATATTGACAGAAGATACTTCTTTGGCCAAGTCCTGAGGTACTGACCTTTTTTTCTCAGAATATTAACAGATTAATTTGCTCTAAGCTCAGCATCAGTGTAATTTTAGCTACAAGGCTGCCATCTACTGTTCACGTAAGTCAATCTCGGATTTTGTTTTCGGAAATGCTTTATAAATAAATGAACATGTGATTTGGGCTCGCCCAAGGGAATATACACGAGACGCGCCTGTTTTGTTTGCAAACTTTCTGCTAGTATTTGAATTATAGTCTTCTTGCGAGCTGGAGAATTATCCTTCGACAACCCAACATGCCGTTATGGCTCTAACTAGTCTTCATAGCAGTCATGTGATGATGAAACACCTTTTAAATATTGTCTCTTTTCAAAGTTGGCGCGATCCCTGGCCGTGTAACGTTCAGATGCATTAATATAGCACTCGATCATCAAGTTAGTGTCGAGACATGTCATTTAATAATAACTCTGTTTTTGTTGGTGGGTTGAAAAACGGCAATATTTGGGACTCGATAGAAAACACAAAACATGCTAAGGGAGATATAGATTCGGTATCGTTCAATGCTGGTTATGACAAGGATGCGGGGCTAGAAGAGGACGCAGACATCGAAGCGTATGTTACGTAACATAAATGACTGATTTACCCATAAATATGCGTTTTGGACAGCATACCAGATAATTTTAAAATCGTAAACTAATATACTAATTGGAGACGCGTCATTGAATTCAATTCTTGCATGCAGGCTACTACTATCCATCATCAATGCTCATAAATCTAATAATGATGCTATAGAGAGTTATTACCGGCCTGAGCCATTTGCTTGCTACTGCTTTGCGCCATTGTGTCAGATAGAGAATCAATCCCATGATTTCTATGGAGTAAATTTGCTTCGGGAAAAGTTGAAGAGGCCTATAGTGATGGCTGCCGCCGACCAAAGAGGATCGATTTTCGTTTTTGACTTTGGTGCTAACAAGTATGAAAGTTTTATTTAATATGATACCGATTCCAGGAATATTTTCACGAGACAGTGTTGTATGCGATGTTGTATAGGCTTTGGCGGGTAGCACGATCTGGAATATCTCCATCAGTAATGGCCTTTACCTCTTTATCAAAGGATGAGTTGGTTGTCGCGTTTACAGATAATACTGTAAGATGTTACGACGTTGGTATGTATGACATTGTGTGTTATACAATTATTGTCAAAGAGTTATCATGTAACGTTTAGTTTCTGCTTATTAGAGACGCGCCAACTGATTGCTGAGACAAGCAGCCATCGCCATCCAGTTGATTGCATTTCAATGCATCCTGATGAACATGTGGTTATTACTAGCTCACGGTCTGAAGCTATTTTATGGAACATGTCTGACTGGTCAAAGTTGAAGGTATTAAATGGTGAGGCAGTGCACGGCGGATTGCGTCACGTAAGTATGAACATGTTGGTTCAGATCAATGTCACGCTTACCGCTTATAATTTATAACTATGATACAATCTTCAATAGGTAGCATTTTCGTCGTCGGGGACGTTTATAACTACCATATTTTACGACGAGAGTGTTTGTGTATGGAATGGCCAATCGTTTGAAATCATATGGAACGTGAATATCCCCAAGCGAAGACCCAGATATATTAAGCCGCTATTATTCAATCGTTCATATGATGAGACGTGTCATCTCGCCTTGATTCTGACGAATGAGCAAATTTTGATCGTTGGCGGAATGTATGTATATATGTGTTTGCCTATAGAGTTGACATGTCGGGAATACTGACATTTTATTTTAAAAAAAAAGTATGACGCTATATGTATGGAATATTGCTACGCAATCACTATTGCGTGAGGTCGATCTTGGTCGTAGGACCTATGGTTGTATCAAACAAGTAGAAGCGATCTGTGACCGTGCTGTAAGGCTTTAAACAACATATTTTATTACTTACATTGAAGAAACTAAGACCAATATCTTTATATACAGGAGTTGGTGATACTAACTTCAGATGGACACCTTTTGCTCGTTGACATATTCGACAATGCTGAATCCGGGATGCATCTAATAAACGTTGAACTACCGGTTGGAGTATTTATTTACGAATGCGGAATGCAAATTATAATTCATAACTAATAATCATACAACTCGACATTGAATAGGTTAAATCATTCAAAATATCACCAGACGGTAACTTTTTGGTGACGAATTCCACTAAAGAGAAAGAGATATTGCGGATATGGGACTTTCGCAGTCTTGTCGCAGATTCAGTATGTCTATAACTGATAACATGTGCATTCAGTGTTTGTGGTCATGTTCACACGTCTTATCGATTGACAGTTACAGAACAACTTTGAAGACTACACACCAAAAAGTAACCGCAAACTATTTATTGAAGTTCAAGAATCATCACCTCCTGTTCTTGGTCCCAGCATTTCCCGTAACAACAACTCTGCGATAATAACGTCAAAAAGTATACATTCTATCTCGCACTCATCACCGCAGCCGAAATCTAAATCAAAGCCCTTTCATCAGCACATAAACACGAAACTGCGATCACATGAGCAGTCATCCAAGTTTGGGACCCGAGACAGGCGCTTACGTGCAGGTTTTCCTGGGAACAGCGAGAATGACGATTATATGGAAGAGTCTCCAATGGAAGGAGTGTCGTCTCCTATGGTGTTGCAGAAGGAAAGGGATCAGTGTGCGAGGAATGAATATACGACATGGACGATTGAAAAGAATAGTCACAAGACTAGTCCGTTTGAGAATGATCATGGTAATTTTTTTATGGTTGTGATATTGGAAACAAATAATATTAAGTATTGCTGATGTTTCGATTATGAATGTAAAGAATTGAAATCAACGCCTTTATTCGGGTCGTCGGGGATACAGGTTCGTTGAGATATTTGTATGCTCACATAGTTACATGTCATTATTTATAGATATGGTATTCGCGTACTATATTTATTCAAATTCGACAACATAGAATCTATCTTTTGTCTCAACAGAAGAAAGAAAGCTCAATATCATTGAAACGCTGCACCGAGACGGAAAATATCCAACAGAGCATAGGTAATGCCCATCACCGTTGTTCATTAACTTGTATCACATTTTGACGTTGGTATTCTTTCCTCTTACCAGGCTACAAATATGGCGTACTCTATTGGACGTTCCCTCGAATCTAGAGGCATTTAGAAATTTGATTGACAAGAAGAGAGGATCAATTGTTCAGCTGTCTGTTCAAAAATGGCCCGATCTGAGATCAAAAAATAGAAAGCTGTATATACGGCTTGAACGGTTGAGTATCTTTCTCGTGATTTACTTGCACGTCTATGGTTTATAGTAATTCTATTAAAATTTTTTTAGATGCTTGTTGTTTCTGGTCAACTGGGGGTTTGACGTTGCAGTTGTAATCGAGTGGTTATCGACGATTGTTTACCCCTTTGTTGAACTCATGCTTGGGACCGATGAAGTGGTATGCTGTGAACTGATATTAACTATTTTACGTAAGTCCACTTGCGTATCCGAATGCTTTTGATGGTAAAAATTGTGCCGAGATATTAGTGCTAACATTGTTACAATTATTCGCAGTAAACTGGTATCAAAATTGCTGGAAAAAGTTTCCCAATCCACCCGCTCGAATGCTCGATGCTGCCGAGAAGTTGTTGGAATACTGGGATGCAAGCTTACTCAACCACTTGAAGGAGGTGGGCGTTGACTTTAAGACAGTGAGTACAGTAGAAATATCAGGGATAGCTGGTCTATGACCTCGCGTATATATTAATGACAATAACGGAATTATCGTCTAACATTCACCTCCTTGATCAGGACTTTTTATGGCCGGCAATGTTGACTGGTTTCACGCGTATATTGGAAACTGAAGGATTTCTTCAATTATGGGATCACCTTTTGTCGAACGACGAACCATCCTTTATGTGCTATTTCGCGGCCGCCTATGTGTATAACAGTAGAGACACGCTAATCAACAATTTGGAGAGTGAGATACGGGTAACATTTTAATTTTATATTCACAATTCCTCAATTGCATGACGCGTCTGATGCGTATGAGAGTTTTCTGATGCTGGTACTAGACGTCTATCCTTGCCATTTATTTCCGTATAGACATTCATCAGTACGACCTATTCGAATGATCTCGTAAAGGTTCTTGAGGTGGCTCGTAAGATGGAGAGCGAAACCCCGATACCCATATCACCTCGAATCGATGTATTTAGATTCAGACCTCTTGATAACAGGGGGAGTTATAAACTACGTAATGTTAAAATGAAGAAGAATGACAATATCAGAGATTGGATATGGCAACAAGAACGCGAGATTGCTAAAAAGAGGTATGACGATGTTGGATTGACGGGTGAATTGATTACTGTCAACGAATGACCCCATTTTGGCTTTTTAGATCGGCGGACGCTGACGCTAAAGGAAAGAGATCTTATAAAAGGAATTAATATTAAGGATTATCAATTAATAATTGATTTCAAGTCCAAGAAATTGTGATCAAATAATTGACAGTTCATAATTCAAGGCCTCTGTTCGGACGAATGATATTAGAATAAAGCACGAGACCGACTGGCCAATCGGAGTTAGTTAGCTAGCATGTGTATTTGTTTGGGGCTTCCTGTTGGGCCAGTCCAATATTTATCGAGCAATATCGCCTTACCCGACATACCTCTAAGCAACAAATTATCTACTACAACTGCAGGCCGTTTTTCTTCAGTATGTTCTGGCCCGTAGCCCCGATTCAAAATCGGGCCGGCCCAGTTCGAAAATAAGCTCATTTCATTTCGCTATTATCACATAAACAATGTTGGTTAGATGTCGCTTATTATTATTGGTTGTGATATTAGATGATGTGCCTATTGCGAAACGGCGCGAACATATATATACATATATAGATTTGTCCGTAACTATATGCTTTTAGGTGAAACATAAGATAACTATAAAACATTGGGGAAATTTTGTCATGAGACTAAATGTGTATATCGGTAGAATCTACTATTTTGTTCCGATAGCATGTGACTTATTATCTGTTGCGTAGATCGGTAACAACTATAAATTGCATAACAATAAAAAGATAGGCTTGCGTAATGGCAATTTGTGAAATGATGCCAAAATATTTTGTAGAACAGCGTAACACAAATCCCCCTACAGTATAGTTAGCTGGAATTCATATACGTGGCCTTTTTTACATCTAAGATCGCCAAGATCATTTGCATAATTAATAGCTTTGACTAAAACGATATATTTTATTGTGGCAAAATTTTTTACGTACAAACAAAAGCGGATTTAACCGGTTTTTTCCAAAGACGAACATATATAAATGTATATCGTATTTTCATAATTAAACTATATGCAGACTCATTGTTCCGCCATTTTTAGCTTCTTGTGATAATCTAGAATGTCAGCAGATCAATTACGTATAATACAGCGTGTAAACGATATTAAATACTTGTTGCCTACTTTTTCGCGTACCGGTATTATATAAAAACGCAGCAAGGAGTCTGGTAACAAATATTCCCGGTTAACAAAATTTCTTTTCCAGGCTATAGCAGAATTATACGTGTATTATGTGGTATGGATAAACTCTCTTTTTTTTGAATATCGCACTATGTATTATCTAAAGTTGCTCTTCGAATGATGTCAATATGTCAACTTTTGCACTGATTAACAATTGTTATACAGTTTATCTTTAACTTTCTGTTCACAGAGTATTATTTCGATAATTCCCGATGTGGCTTGGATCCCGTCAGTTTGTCGCACCATCAAATACCCAATCTTTTTAAATGCATAACGACAAAGACACCATTCCAGGAATTCAAAAAAAAAGACACAGAGTTGCATCAAGTGATGGTGCAGTGAGTATTACACAAAAGTATTTAACTAGACAATTGATAGTTGAATATAATGTTTTGGTTTGTTGCTTTATCGATGTAAGTTGAGATCTATTTGTTAAAGCCGTCTATCAAAACAACTAAATTTGATCATTTTATGAGTTCAGCCCTACACTCGCAAACCAATCAAGGCTCTGATAGTCAAGGATAAAAAGCAGGGGATGAAACGCTCCGTCAAACCGCGCGACGTGAATTGATTAAAATCTCGAGTCATAATGAAAAGTCCAAAAAGCTCCTCGACGAGAATAATAAAACGGAATGGAGTATTGCAACAATGTATGCGTCTCTCGATAAGGAAAGCTACTTATACGCTTCCGCCCGTCCCGCTACCATTTTCTCCACAATTTAACGCAAACGCTTTCGTAACAAAACTGTCGCGCAGAAAGCTAATTCGTTTCCCAAACGCATTTATCATGTATCGTAGCGAATATGTGCGTCATTTGAAGAATAATAATTATCATTTGCCAATGACTGACTTGTCGTCCATGATTTCATATTCGTGGAAGAAGGAGCCAGAATACGTCAAAAAGGCATACAGAGATATTTCTTCAGACGCTGAAAAACTGTATGCGCAGATAAATTGCTTTCAAGTCAACGATGCGACAACTGCAGTCTCGACCAAAGTAAAAAGAAAAAACAAGCCGAATTTTATTACCAAAATATCAATGCGAGTACCAAAACTGACAACCAATAATTCGAAATATCCCGTATATGCACCGCATACTAATACGGAACCCACGACTTTACAAGTTTCCGAGTCCGCGTTACCGTTACCTCAGTCTTTTGTCCAAGACAATTATATCGAACCGATAAATTCGCCATTTGACATGCTGGAAAACAGGATGGAAACAACGTTCGACAATAGAATGACAAACTGTTGCTGTTGTCTGGAATGCGCGTGGAAACAGCAGCAACAAAATCGTGGTATGCTGAGTGGGATACACGTTGTTGTCAAACAATAAAAGAGGCAAACGTTGATTCTTTTTTCAATTATCTAGGTAATATGAATGCCTCTGCTTTTCAAAAGACTGATGCAGTTGTGCCTCAGTATTCTTCTTCCGTCACCACTTCCTCTCATTATGTGTGCCCAACTCAACCTCCTACCTTATTTACTCACCAAATTACATCTCAATTTAGTCTATCATCTCCTCCAATCTTTAATAATTATGCTTCAACTTTGGGCTCGTTCTCATCTTCGTTCACAACATTTCCTAGCTCAAACAATGAATACAGGATGCCTATATCGCGAAAATATACTTGAGAAACGATATCATGGACTGGACGACTGTTGTGAACGTCAAACCTGGAACGGATTGAAAGCAACATGATATGTTGCGTACAATACGAGTGAGCACGGTTGGTAGTTCTATACAGTGTGTCTCAAAAATAATTGTGGTTTATAGAATAACCATTATTTTATTAATAAATTTAGACACGCGTTGTTTACGTGTCTTGTTTTGTTATTTTCGTATAAAACACCTTCTGCGCTAACTGTAAACAAACTTTTACGTTTAAACTTTTAATCGTTTCGATTTTGAATTAACTTTGCAATATGGTAAATTCTCGACTTGAAACCCAGCGTCAGACCATACTACATTTCTGGCAGAATAACATCCGATCTCCCAAAGATATTCACCGTAAAACTGGAATTCCTATTCGAACCATTGAATATAATCTAAAAAAAATCAAAGAAACGCAAACTGTAGCGCATAGAAAGAAACCAGGACGTCCGCGGAAGGTTACACAGAATATGTCCAGGACCGTATGTCAGTATATACGACACAATTCTGCTGTTTCAACAAGACAACTGGCAATACAAATAGAAAATAAGTATGGGGCTGCAATTTCACATAATACTGTCTGGAGACACATAAAAGAAAGGGGATATCAGAGTTCTGTGCCCATTGGAACTCCAATGCTTACACAAAACCATGTCAATGCACGTATTGCATGGGCAAGAGCTCATATGAACGATAAATGGCATAATACTATATTTACAGATGAAACGGCGTTCGATCTATTTAGAAATAAAGTTCGACGTTGGCATCAAAGTGGGACAAAACCGATTAGGAGATTGCCCAAAACACGACAAAAGGTTTTTGCGTGGGGAGGCATCTCTCTCCGAGGAAAAACACCTCTATTTTGTTTTACAAACACTATGGACAGTCAGTTTTATGTCAATATTTTGCAGGACCAGCTTTTACCTGCAGCCCAGAGTATGTATCACAACAGATGGAGGCTGCAACAGGACAATGATCCCAAACATACCTCCCGGGTTACTAAAAATTTCTTAGCAGAAAATGGGGTAAACGTAATTGACTGGCCATCAAATAGCCCCGATTTTAACCCCATTGAAAACTTGTGGCAAATTATAAAAAATAATGTTGAAAAAAGAATGCCTCAAAATATTGAGCAGTTAAAGCAGTTTTTGACAGAAGAATGGGAGGCGGTTCCACAACAGCACATAGTTAATATGATTCGGTCAGTCAAAACACGTTGCGAGCTTATTTTAGAAAATAACGGGGATAGAATTCCATACTAAAAAAATAATATGTAATAGGTTAGATGTAAATCTTTAAAATAAAAGTCTTTTTAGCTTGCTATCTATGATAGATGTTGAGTAAACCCAAATTTTGTAACCACAATTATTTTTGAGACACACTGTATATAGTATCGTTATTATAGAATTAACAGCTTTTGCTATTGTCGCATGGTTATCGGTAGACAGTCTTTGTAAAAAAAATTTGGTTTAGACAAATGTACATAACTTTGAGGAATACTTGGAGTAAAATTGGGTTTATCATATTTATGTAATTTCTTTAGCATGGTATTATTAGAAATGATAATTACGCATTGCCAAGTATAATAATTTAATATTAATGTTGCTAATCACACACGACATATTAATGCTGAATGTTTCCATATGACAAAGCTGTATTATTGAAGTTTATGGATACAAGAAAATTGTCAAACTATCGATGCTCAACTGTGGTAATATTCTCGCAACTGTAAAAAAAAAAAAGAACAAATCTAAGAAAAAACCAAGAACGGTCACATTAATTTGTTGAACAGTCAGATTCAGGCTCATCTGGTATAGACAGTAGCACTTTAGAGTCAGAATCTAATAATAACGATTCTAATTCCAAAAATTCTTCAACTGAATCTAAAGCTGAGATTAATGTCAATATAAGCAAGTAAAATTTGATGCCTTCACAGAACGCGCAAGGTGCAGTAATACCACTGCGCACTCTGTGCAAGTTTAATGAGAGTCTATTGGTCAGGCTCTTCATAACGCGTTCAGTTGTAACATATTTGAAGTCCGGAAAAATTAATATAATTAATTTTGTTTAGAACAGATTGTGGATAAAAAATTATCGAGAATAATTTGAGAAAAGCTTGACGAAAATTTTCTTTGTCTGTAAAACATCTGATACTATTCTTCCAACGTTTTTGTTCTTGCAAGTTAAAGTCTCTCTGAAGATAAGTCTGAAAACGAAGAGACGATAAATAAACTAATGGAAATTGATTATATCCAGAAAACAAAGCTGCCACACAGTAGATCCCGAAGGGAGTTGGTTTTCTGCTAAAATAAAAGAATTTTACATATTACTATGCGCCGTAGAAATTTATATACACAATATTTAGACGCGAAAATAAAACAGACAACTCGTACACCTATTATAATCTATTGTTATCGTTATATTTAAAATACTGTATTTAAAAGGAAACAATTGTTCACATCGTTACGTTCTAAATAATGTCATGCTTTGATATAAAACAAGCGTGTCATCTCCTCCTCATCAAACTTTTCTCTTGTCGCACCCTCATATATTTTAAGTTTTCTCAAGAGGAGATTTTTCACTGGGGTTTGCCGAGCCACCAGGGATCAAATAGGTGGGCTCCGTGTCCATAGCTTGCGAAAAGTTACCCAGTCAGGTAACCAGCCCCGGCGTTACTGAAAAAGGTCTGCGTCGTAACAGACTCTGTGGTAGTAAATCCCTGATTGTTGTTCTATTCCGCGGAGTGCAACCTAAGTAAAAACTCATGGATGACTCGGCAAAATATTAATTATTAGCTCGGACCGCTTAGTCACGGCAAATTTGAGAAAAAGGTGCGATTACATAACTGGGACTACGTCCGTATGGAAAATCTCGACTATCAAGAGCCAGAAATATCCGAAAAGATGGCTCGAGCCGAGTCTCTTGCTTGGAATTATCTTGCAACTTTTGATTGAAGAGTTTCTTGAAAAATACAAATTAAACTTTTGGATAATGACCCACATTATGTGGATAATGTTACACTCGACCCTGTGATTCGATTGGAAAAGGTAACGGTAAGAATTAAAATTTCCTCAAATTTTTTAACAAGCATTTCAAGAAAGTCAGAATTACGGTACAGAGCACGCGTCTTAACAGTGACTATCTCGAACCTTTCGTTCACCTGATTGTTACTACATTGCAAAGTATTTTTGTCGTCTATTAGGGACATGACCTGATTGCTGCAAACTGGGGGATCCCAAGGCTACGCTTCGGCAAAAGTAAATTTTATCCACATAACCTGTTGCTACGCAAATTGCAGAAGCAAGCACGCGACTAGCTTTGCATTTTTCTTGGCTCTGCTCATAAACTCATTGACGTCGTTTTCAATCGTTGTAGCTATCAAAAACTAGGGCTGATGTCGATGCTGAATGCTCCGGCTGAAGGCGTAGAAAAGACCAACCCGAATAATGAGAAGGAAGAAACATTTTGGGTCCAGATGCGGGCATCATAGAGCGAGATGAAGAAGGGAATGTCATAACGCTATTTTGGGAAAAAGCAAAGAAGAACTCGAGGAAGAAGTGTTTGATAAGGAAGTGGAGCCTGCACCAGCAAAGACAGATATTGTGCGAGGTATGTGTGATCACTATATTCGTTTTTTTTTTTGTAAATTTGCATATTTATACAGTGATTTCCTAAACGCAAAACGCATCGTATTAAATGTTTGTATAGCTCTTGAAGAAGAGGCTGCTGTCGTATACAAGAAAGAATTATTTCAAGGGGCAGCACAAAAGCAATATATTAAACGGCTGATCGATAAACATGGCGATAACTACAAAGCAATGGCACGGGACATTAAACTCAATATATATCAGCATACCAAGGCTCAGCTTAAGAGCAAGTGTGAGAAATATTTGCGCGAACTGCCAACATCCTCTTGATAGCCCACGACAATTTAATGTATTATATAATTCGTAAACTTTGGCGGCACATCAATGTAACGATATTTAAAGTGAGAGTATAAAACGAGCTGTGAATCATGGGCGCGCTGCAGAAGAGGATTTACCGTTAGAAGGTTACGGGACAAAAGTATCGGCAAAGACCATAGACTGGTATCAGTAAGTATCATGTACACGGCATTGAACTTTGTGAAACGATAGATTTTTTGAATTAATCGATTTCTCGTTTTCCCAATAGCGTTCGGATACTCGTAACTGGGTCATTGCGCCGTTTCCGTACCCATGATCGTCTTTGTCATTACTATCGTCTAGTACATGCATGTAACAGAGACTTTTTCCCGCACCATTCTTAGTCCGTATAAAGTAAGATGATATTATTACTTTATATTAAGCAAAATGCTCGAAAATGTGTCAAGTTTAGTGATATTGCTGGTATTAGTATTTATTATAATAGCTTTACCTCATATGTGAAAACATGCAGAGCTTGAGTAATAGTCGGCATGTATGTAAAACGCTCAAATTACGACCGGTAGCACGAGACACTTCCAGTTACTAGTTTCATAACGATGTACTCTGTATTTATTACATATCCAAATGATCTACCCCGGCAATGATAGCTAGTATTCTTGACTCAGCCCCGACATATTTAATTAATTTAGACGGAAGAGGAGTAAAACTTCGAATTCTATGTTTATTCAAAGGATGTTTAAACTAATATTGTAGATTGACTTTAATAATTTATACGAACAGAACTAATTTCTCTCTTTGTAATCCGAACTACATCTCTACTCCTCGTCAACATCCGACAAGCTCAACTCTGACAAGGGAGGTAACTGGTGAGAATAATTTCTTGGTTTGGGCAGACTCCCAGTAGGCAAGAGCGTACTAGAATATTTACACTCCTTCTCGAGACGTGACAATGGTTTTACATCGTTATAATAGATAGTACGCCACGTGTTGTCATCCTTGTCGACCTCTTTAAGCTTACAAATATCCTCCCAAAGTGTCACTGCATCAGGGCGCTTACCAGGATCAGCATCACAACACCGCTCGGCAAGTTTCTTGTATTTCTCTGGTGCGGAATCAGGCATCGATGGTCGTAGTCCGTCCATAATGTTACATATTAAATTTCTGTCGAATTTCCGATTCCTAAAAGGCGGTTCACCAGTTGCAACCAAATACATGATGATACCAAAAGAATATATGTCTGATTTCTGAGTAAACTTGCGGGTATGAAAGACTTCCGGTGCAATAAAAGGTAAAACGCCTCGAATGGTTGACTCACGCGAATTCACTGATCGAGACAGACCAAGGTCGCATATTAGTGGCTCACTATCATGCATAACAATGTTTCCGCCATGAAGATCACAGTGCACTAATCCCGCATCGTGAATGTTGAGCAGATAATTTGCAATATCCTTCAAACACTGTAATTTATCCCTCCACGTCAAATTGTTAATATTTTGATCCAGATAGGACAAAAGACTGCCATTGTTAGCATATTGCATAACAAACATATACTCTTTTGTTTCTGCGTCTTGTGTGACTCCATAAATTTTAAGGAATGAACTATCATTATCGTACATTTGTATGCACTTGGCATGATTTCTGAACTATTAATTGAAAAAATACAATGTTAATTAACTGTCACTTTAATAGTATCATATACGGTACTAATTACTGCTTACCTCTGAAATAAACAATTCCGGTGTTTCATCAAAACTCTTAAACCGTTGAGTACAACGGTTTCCGCCATACCCTCTATTTCCGTATAATTTCTATATTTGGGGGATGGCTAAAGCGGGGGCAAATCACGTGGTTTTTACGGAATTTTTCGGAAGTATCGAAAGATTATTTGTGGCCG